GAGACCAGGAAGGGAACGCAGGAGCGGGAAGGGGCCATGAGGGCAGAGCCCCCGGGACGGAGCGGGGCAAGGAGGAGCCGGGCGTAGCTCTCCTCCCCGGCCGTGCCGGAGGTGGAACAGTGGGGACGGACACACGGCCGCCTGCTCCTGTCAGGCACCGGGTGGTGCGAGCTTCGGTGTCCCCGCATGAGGGCGTTTGGAGAGACTGCGTTGGGGGAAATTCCTAATAAACGAGGAGAAATACGACTTGTGATTGTGACACACAACTACTCTATTTCATCCGGCGGTGTGAGGGAGACAAACAATGGACTCACAGAATATCCCGAGTAGAAAGGGATTACACGGATAAGGTCCTGAGTGGACCTTGCTGGCTGTGGCCCCAGGGCTCGGTGGCTTACCCGGGGAGGGCTGAGAAGCTGCTCAGTGCATCCATGCCCCGCGTAATGTCAGTGGGGGCGAAAACCTGACCCGGATTTGAAGTTTTTTAATTAAACCAGCCCTAAATTTAAGCTGGGAGGTGCGCAGGGTGGATGAAAGACGGCAGAGCCCGGCAGCTCCTGGGGGGCTGAGGGAGGGCGACACTCGCCTTAGTGCGCGAAGTGAGGGGTGGAGCAGCAGAACTCGGCTGCAGCGGCTTTAATTCAGGTTGCTCATCTATTTATTTATTTATTCAGGTGTTGATCATCTGTTTATTTATTTTCACGGGGCGGTTGAGCGGAAGGTTGGATTTCTGGAGGCACGGAGCATCCCCTCCCCTCCGGGCGAGGGTGGTGCCGCTTCCCGGGGGCTGGAACCGCCTTCCCGGGGGCTTGGAGCGCGGCTTGCCCGGGGCTTGGAGCGCGGCTTGCCCGGGGCTGGAACCGCCTTCCCGGGGTTTGGAGCACGGCTTGCCCGGGGTTTGGAGCACGGCTTGCCCGGGGCTTGGAGCACGGCTTGCCCGGGGCTTGGAGCGCGGCTTGCCCGGGGCTGGAACCGCCTTCCCGGGGCTTGGAGCGCGGCTTGTCCGGGGCTTGGATCGCGGCTTCCCTGCAGCCAGATCACCTCATCCCCGCGGCTGCCAGGCGATTTCAGCCCCGCTTTCTCTGCTCGGTGGAGCTGATGGCTGCAGGTGAATTCTTATTCTCTCCTCGTAGCGTTAAACGTGCATGGGCTGCATGGCTGGGGTGGGGAGGAACAGTGGTTTATTTCAGGGGAAAAAGGATGGGAGTGATTTGTTAATCGCCGATTTCAATAACGCACCCTTTCCGCCTCCCTCTCCACAGCCCACCTCTGCATAGGGGTGTGTAAACTTGGTGGAACTCGGGCTTTTTGGGCGAAAACCTCCCCTGC